TATCAGGCACTGGGCACTAGGCACAAGAATGCAAAATGCCACATAAAAATACAAGAATACAAAAATAAGACAGTCCCTGATCTTCAAATAGCTAACATTCTGGGATAGGGAGAAAGAGTGAATAAAAATATCTTGATCAACTATTCTACAAAGCCATAATTATTAAAAACAATTTGGTATTGAGGAAGAAATAGAGGTTGATCAGTGGAACAGATTAAGCACACAATGTACAAAAGCAAATGAACGCAGTACTTAGTATTTGCTAATATTTGGTAAATCCAAAGATCCCAGCTATTAGGGCAAAAACTCACTATTCAACAAAAACCGTTGGGAAAACTGGGAAGTCTGGCAGAAACTAAGTGTAAACTAATATCTCACACTATATATCAAGACAAGCTCCAAATGGGCACATGATTTAGATATAAAAGGTGACATCACAAACTGAGAAGCATGGAAGAAAATTACTTGTTAGATCTATAGATATGGGGAAAATTCAAGATAAAACAAGATATAGAGAGATTCATGGAAGGTAAAATGGAAATTTTTCATTAAATGAAGTCTTAAAATTTCTGCATAAATAAAGCCAATGCAGCTAAAATTAAAAGCAAGAAGTTGAGGAAAAGATCTTTGCAAACAGTTTTCTCTGATAAACATCTGATTTCTAAGATATATAGGGAGGCGATTCAAATTTATAAGATTAAAAGCCATTCCTCTATTGATAAATGGTTTAAAGGATATGAGTATGCAGTTTTGGGAAGAAAATCCAAGGTATCAAAATACCATTGATCAAAAAATGTTAAACAGCACAGAGCCAAGGATGGACTCCTAGACATATTCCGCTAGGGCTTCCCTCCACAATGTCATTGATCTATAAATGGCTACATGTAAAGTCCAGTTACTCCACTAATCCCAAATCTTGGTTATCCTTTGTCTCCTGCTGCCCCCTGAGCCATTATCACTAGTGCCTGCCCTCAGTCCCTTCTATCAACATGAGTTCCAGGAGAAATTCATGGAATTGAGGTTCAATGAGCCAGCCTTGGCCTTATCTTGCTCCACTCTAGGCCTCTCACAGAACTTGCTGGACATTTCCAGCCATGCATGTTTACCCTCTTCCCTCCCTTTCTGGGCCTCCCCCCATTACAATATAAAGTCCTTTAGGGTAGGAACTGTCTAGTTCAAGCTTATATTTGTATCCCTAGACTTAGTATAGTGTCTGGCCCATAGTAAATATTTAATAAATGCTTTATCTATCTCTCTATCTAGATACCAGTGGCTTTAAAAGGACAATACTTATTCACATACACACATAGGGTGATACAACTTTTACTTTTCTGAATACATCGTGAAATCAATATCCTACTCAAAAGATACAAGGATCCTTGATTTAGAAGTAGAAGGAGACCTAGAAGCTATTGAATTAATTTGAGGACATTTGATAGATGAGGAAACTAAGGCTGGGAAAGGTTGTGACTTGGCCAAGATCACATAGCTAGGAAGTGCCTGAAACAGGATTTGAGCTCAGGCTTTCCTAAGCCCAGCAATCCATCCACTTTACCAACCTAGCTGCTTCTCAAGGGTAGCTTTGATTTGGGGAAGGGCCAAAGTCATAAAACCGTAAGATCATGGATTCAGAGGTAGAAGGGATTTTATAGATTAGTTGTTGGTCATTTGGAGCCAACAGAATCAAAGTTGATCTTCCTACATGGTTGAAGAACTAGATTGGGAGGCACTTCCCAAAGAGAACAGGGCACAGAGAACAGAGCACCAGGCCTGAAGTTAGGAAGACTCATCATCCAGAGGCGAAATCTGGCCTCAGATACTTACTAGCTATATGACCCTGCGCAAGTCACTTCACTCTGGTTGCCTCAGTTTCCTCATCTGTAAAATGAACTGGAGAAGGAAATGGCAAATCTCTGTAGTATCTGTGCCAGGAAAACTCAAAACGGGGTCACAGAGAGTCGGACACGACTGAACAACCACCAGCCAAAGAGCACAGACACACTGAATCGATGGACCTCTCACAGATACAAACGGATCACCTTCAAGACTACCCTGATGAACGACGATCTCAGCACCTCCCTGACAATAAACCTCTGGGAGGACCTGTGAATGTGTTCTGCTACCCTAGAGTGACACCTTGAGCCCAGCCAGTAAAATCACTACCTTCTTACTGGACAAGAACATGAGATATGAAACAGACGCTGGCAGATTTCCCCAAGCCTTCCTCTGGGCTTAAGAAAAGAGCAAATGGTTTGGCACAGCCCCTGCGGCAAATGAGAGGGATTTGTAGAGCGGATGGTTGACCAGCAGTGAGGGCCACGCTTGAGGTTAGGTACCACGGAGTGGGATGAAATCCATTTGAATCTGTATCTTTATTTAGTGGAAGAAAAATCTGCTGCTGAGAGTTCTGTCTGGGAGCTGGTGTTACATATGTCAGGAGGGATCCAAAAGAATCCCGAAAGACTAGTGATGAAGCATACTATCTGCCTCCAGAGAAAGAACTGATGTTTGAATATAGACTGAAGCATGCTATTTTTCACTTTCTTTCTTTCTTTCTCTTTTATTTGAGTCTTCTTGTACAAAATGACTAGTATGGAAACGTTTTACACGATTGCACATGTATAACCTATTCTGATTGCTTACTGTGAAAGGGAAGGGAAGGGAAAGAATGGAGAGAGGGAGGGAGGGAAAGAATTTAGAACTCAAAACTTTTTTTAAAATGTTTAAAAAATTGTTTTTACATGTAATTTGGGGAAAATATTATATATTAAAAAGAAAAAATAAAATGCTGCTACCTAAAAAAAAAAAAAAAAAAGGAATGTCAGGCAGGCAATGAATCAATCAGCAGGAATTTATTAAGTGCCTACTATGGAGCAGGTACCATGTTAAGATCTCGAGATTCAAAGTCCAAAATGAAACAGTCTCTGCCCTCCCTTAAAGGAGATTCCATTTTAGCTAAGGGAGACAACATATGCATACTGTCTGTAAGTACATACAAAAGAGATACAATGTAACATAGATGGAAGGTAGTAGCATGTAGACAGATCAGGAAAGGCTTCGTGTAGAAGGAAACTATTGGCAAAGGACCCTAGGGTAGTGACAGGTGGGAAAGAGGGATGGATTGGAGTCAAAAGAAATAGGTTTAAATCCTGGCTCTCCCACTCACTGCATGCGTGTGACCTCAGGCAAGACAATTTACCACTCTCAGCCTCAGTTTCCTCATTTATAAAATGAAAAATTGAGCTCTTTGACTTCTCATTCTAAATGATTCTGTGAGGTATTCAACAGCAGACCACAGGGTCAGGAGCAAGGCTTCATACTAAAGGCACCTGAGGCCAAGGTAGGGCAGATTATCTGGAAGAAGAGCAGGGTTAGTGTGAGAGGGAGAGGAGAAGGCAAGGAAACTGAGGTTGGGGAATACATCTTCACACTTTTGAGGCTTGGAAGTGATGCTACACCAAAATACAGTGAAGTCAAAGGTCAACAGGCGGCTGAAGTCTGGTGGAGTGTTTTGGGGTTAAGAATGTAAAGATGGAGTCAATATGCTGATAAATGACCCACATTCCCACCTTTCCTTTCCCTTTTCCATCTCCCCTCGGAGCTGACAAGCAGAAATGGCTTCAGCCCCACTCCCACCATGATCCTCTGGGGATGGTTCACACTGAAATCAGAGAGATGAGGCTGGAGGCATGATTTTAACTCACACTCTAAATATCCAGGGAAAACTCTCCTGCTAAGAAAATCCACAAATGTTGCAGATTTGGCCAACTGTGCTGTTAATGCCTTGTGGTGCTCACTTGCCCAGGGGCATCCCCTTTGCTGACATCACTTTCCAAGTGACCTGACTCACAACCCCACAGAACACAACCCCATGGGGGGGTGGGGAGTGATAGGTTAACTGTGATGCAATAAAACTGAATACTCAAGTATGGAGGCCAATACACAAGGTAAGCCAAGGCTTCCCTTCCTCCAGGGAGTAAGTAGGGATTCCCGCTATAACCTGACTGGGATGATAAGAGGTAGGAGGCTATTGTAATCTTGGCTTAAGCCCTAAAATATCTTAATTGAAAACAGCAGATTTTCTAGGAAAATGACATAGGAAGGGAGAGGAAAGAGAAAAGAAAAATAGAGAAGAGGGATGTGACAGTTGAGGTGCAGGGTAAGTATTAGACAGGCACCCTACCCTGGGAGCCAGGATACCTGGGTTCTGGTCCTGGCTCTGATCCCCAAGTCATCCTGCAACCTCAAGCAATCCGTTTGCTCTCTCTGGGACTTGTTTTCCTCTGTAAAATGAAAGGTTTGGAATAATGTCTAGAATGTCTTCCAACTCTCAGTCTATGATTCTTTGATCCTATGATATTATAAGGGGGTTGAAATGAATTCTTTCTAAGGTTTTTTCAGCCTATAAGATTCTAAAAGTTAGGACTACAGGTCCTTATGACCATATAAACCCTCAATACCCCTGCTCAAATTCCCATCCAGAAAAACTCTCCCTTTAATTATCCACCCAGATCTTACAGGCAACACCTCCAAACTTTGTGGAGAACTAGTACTCATCTCCACCACGACCTCTGCCCATTGAGGTTTGTACAATCAGGGTGAAGGAATAAAGCACTCTGGCATTTCCACTTTTCTAGGTACCACTGTTCTTCAGGGTCCTATTTTTTTTTTTTTTTTTTTTGGCTAGGCAATAGGATTAAGTGACTTGCCCAGGGTCACACAGCTAGTAAGCGTTGTGTCTGAGGCCAGATTTGAACTCAGGTCCTCCTGAATCCAGGGCCAGTGCCCTATCCACTACACCACCTAGCTTCCCCTCACAGCCCTTCCTTGACCCTTCTCTCTACCAGCCCACCTCTTCTCCACCCCCAGCCACCAGGGAGCAGGCCCATCTTTCAAAGGGATCGGAAAGGCCAGGCTAGCTAGAAGAGAACGTATACCCTCAGCTCCCTACACTGACCTGGTCTTTTCTCTCCTCCCTGCCCGAAAGAACTTTTGTCATCATGAGGCTGATCAGGGGGAATTCAGTACTGGAGGTCCTTCTGGGTGCAACCTGTGGGGGACTGCTGGTACTACTGGTAGGTTGGTCACGAGGTGCCTGGATGCCTTCAGGAAAGCCAACATATAGCCCCAGGACTGAAGACACACCGACTTCAACCTTAGAGACGTTCACATGGCAAGCCCGGTTTCCACTCTCCCTGGACAGGGAGCCCACGCAAGTTTTCCCCTTCCTTCTCAACCATCCAGACAAGTGCAAAGTTTCAAGGGGGGTGCCCTTCTTGCTGATGTTGGTGATGACTCAGCCCCAGGACCAGGTTGTGAGAGATGCCATCCGGTATACATGGGGGAATGAAACCACCGCACCTCGTGTGATCATCCGACGCCTCTTCCTAATGGGCCTGTCCCCTTTCTCCTCCTCCTCCTCCTCCTCCTCCCACCACCTGCTAGAAGAAGATGAAAAGCATGGGGATCTACTCCAGGTGGGTTTCCTGGATACCTACCACAACCAGACCCTCAAAACCCTCATGGGACTGCAGTGGATGGCCCAATACTGCCCCACAACCCATTACGTGCTTAAGGTGAATGGAAACGTCTTCCTGAACCCCAGGCTGCTGGTGCAGCAGATACTAAAGGCTGAGCAACAACCCCGACCAGACTTTATCACTGGCTGTATCTACAGAAACAGAATACCCATTCAAAGGCAGTCCCATCCTTGGTACATGCCCCTAGACATGTTCTCCCATGCCAGGTACCCACCATACTGCTGCAGCCCTGGCTATGTGCTATCTAGACCCCTGGCCCTTAAGGTTCTCTCCATCGCCCGAAGAGTGCCAGCTGTCCACCTGGAAGATGTCTTTGTGGGGCTGTGCCTGCACCAACTAGGGGTGGAACCCACTCCCAGTACCCCCATCACCTTTCTGATGTTTGGCCGACTATACAATCGCTGTGACTTCCATGGTTTTGCCCTTGTCCATCCCTTCAAGCATCAGGAACTTATTCAGGTCTGGCCTGACTTTCAGAAGGGCAACACCACCTGCCCCCTGGAGTGAAGGGCTGGGATGGAAACACTTCTCAGCTGGACTCTGATTTCCCTCTTCTTCCAGCAGGCATTTTCTATACTGGAGGGCCCTCCTGATTCCTCCCTACTCCCGGCAAGACAGACTGAACCACCCCACCCCCCACCTTGCTTCCCATAAGACTTGGATAGCTCTATTAAAGGTGGTGACAAAAATGCCTTCATCCAGAGCAAAGGTCAGAGTGAGGAGAAAGCAGGGGAAGGGAGGAGAGGGGAGAAAGAAGGGAAAGGCCTAGGTTCAAAGGAAAACAGACTGGTATAAAGGGCTCTGACCAATGAGTCAAGGGTCCCGAGTTTGAATCTTTGCCCTGCCAGCAATTCACTGTGCTGAATTGGTGGGAATGTCGGTGTCCCGGACCCGTTTCTCCAATCGTAAAATGAGGGTGTTTGACCAAATGCTGCTAAGGCAGCACCGGGCTGGGAACTGATATTTCCAGGGAGTGCCCATTGCCTTAACCCACTAGGGCTGGTAGGATAAAGATAGGACATACCTCATGAAAGTGCCCTCTCTGGCTCCACAGCTGCTTCTTGATGCAATGACCTTTTTCTAGACTTACAAAAATATTTGCCAGGTAGCTGCTCCAACACCCCCACATTCAACCCAGAACCAACAAACATTGCCCCTGCACCCCACCAAAACCAATGCTTCTTAATAGTCTTAGCCATGTAAAGTCTGATGGAGCTAGAGAGGACCAGATGGGTGGGTCCCAAAAAATCATTCTGGGAAGGCATTTTAGAGGTACTCTTAAGCCCCCAACTTTCATCTGAATCACAGCCAAAGCCCTACTTGCTCCAAGCTAGGGCTTCCAGGTATAAGCCTAAAGGGATGAAAACACTGAATCTGGTTGAAAAACTTGCTGCATACTCCATGACCTTGGCCAACTCACTTAGCCCCTCTAATGACATCAGTCTGCTCATCTGTAAAATTAGTAAATCTAACTCCAATGGTCCCTTTCAAATATAAATATCCCATGATCCTATGAACTTAAAAAACCTCTCCCAGTCTCTGAAAATCACGCTGTTAAACGTCTGAATAAAACCACAGATGTGGAGGGGCAACACTTGGGCCATTCACTCCCATGGGAGAGCAGAGTTGGGAAGACACTGAAATTTCTCCATTACAGGGGGACAGACACATAAAACACACATCGATCAGGGAAGGCCCATTTTCCTTTATTTGTGTAGAGGACCATACATTCGGGTTCCTAGGTTCATCACCTAGGCAACAGAATGTGGTGGGAAAAGTTCTGGAAGTAGGTGACCTGGGTTCAAACCCCAGCTCTCTCCTAGTTTGTACTCTACCTGTGATTTTAAGCAAGTCATAACCTCTCCCAGCCTTAGTCTCCTGCAAAATGAGAGGGTTGAACTGGATTGCATCCTATGAACCTCTGCTCCCAAGCCAATCTTTTCCCCTCTGAACCCCACCAGCCAGAATTAATCACATGACATCATAGCAATGCAAGAGGACATTTACTTAAAACAAAAGATATATAACAGGAGATAAGAATCAAGCAGCAAACCTTCTCACCACCCGTTTCCCAAACTACAACCTCCCAAACTTCAAGGAAATGTAGGTTGTGAGTCCTCCTGTCTCAGCTTCCCTGATGGCTTAACAGCTTGGCGCTGTAAGCTAGTTGAACAGGATAAAAAGTTTTTGAGTTCGATTTCTGGGCCCTTTCCTGAGCTGTGTATCAACAGGTCACAGCAACCTAGACCCTAAAGGTCTATTAGCAACTTGCCCAGCAACTGAACCCAGGAAACTCAGGTTCTGAAAAGAATCACATCTCAGGACAACAGAGATGTGAAGTCTCGAAACTCTGGCCTCTTGGGCAAGAACCACAGCTGGGAGAATGTTTGCAGTTCACTGCTTCCCACCACAGAAGGCAGCAAGTCTCCTGTTATTAGCCTCCAAAAATAGATGATTCCTGACTCCACATCCATTTTTTTCTCTTCTCTCTTCTGGTGCCCTGCTTGAATATTCCTTCATCCTGTTTCTCCAGAAAGTTTGAGCCCAGCCTCTCACCGAGATGGCTGCAAATTCTCTAACCAGTTGATGTGGGATAGCATCATCTGTCAGGGATATAGATGGCAGTGGGGATACTTTTCCCCACACTCACATCCCCATTTAATTTACATTCATCTTAATTCAGGATGCTGGAATTACCCAGACATACACTTTAATCACAATAAGCTTCCTGACCGCACCAACCCCAGACTCCCAGCACAAAGCTCTAGGACTGGAAATAAGACACAAGGGATTAATGGGGCAGTGTTCAAAACAGCGAGGTCACCTAAAGTGGAGTGTCCACAGACAGTCATTAGCAGCTAGACACACAGAGCAGCCACCATCAATAACATAATAGGAAAAAAATAACTTCCCATTTTTACAGTGCTTTGTATCACAGAATTATAAAAGCTGACATGTATATAGTGCCTCAAGGTTTATAAAGCACTTTACATACAATAGTTCATTTGATCCTCCTAACAACCCTGTGAGGTAGGTACGAGAGATTTAAATGATAGAATCACTGAAGCTCAGGGGCTTAAGGGTACCTCAAAGGGTGTCTTGTCCAACCCATACCTGAACAGGAATCTCCATAAAAACAGCCAAACCAAGTCATCTGGTCACTGCTTGCAGACCTCCAGCGAGAGAAAATTGAAACCTACCTCTTTTCACCTACCAATTGTTCCCAGTTCTGACCTCTGGGGTCAAGTAGTATAAAATCTAATCCACTTTTTTTACAAACAGCCCTTCAAAAACTTGATTCTCTTCCCCCTCCCCCCAATCTATTCTAAGTCAAGTATACCTAGATGTTCCAGCCAATCTTCACATGGCCGTGTACGTGCCCTCACCATCCTGGTCACCATCCTCCCAACATACTGTAGTTTCTCAATGTGATTTCCTAACATGTCCATCCCAGAACTAAATTCAGTACCCCAGACAGGCCTAACTAGGACAAAACATGCAAAATGCTTTCACAACCACTTCTCATCACCCTTTAAGAGGCTAAAATTTTGTGAAGATGAAGGTCATGGGATCTGAGTTTAATTGGAAGGTCAAGGTGTTCAAGAAGAAATCAATATGTAGAGGGAAGTCCACAAATATGAAGGCAGGGGTTTGGGTGGAAAGGAAAGCTACAAGCCAGATACTAAACTCCTTCAGAAATCAGGGAAAGTAACCTGCAGCTGGTACAATCACAGCAATAAACATCTGGGCTGGGTCCTAGAAATGGATGGCATGAACTTCAAAGGCTGCAGTGATGGTGGGTGTTCAAGCAGTAATTTGAGGGGAATGAGGAGTATGATGATACCAACTCCTGAGAGAGAAAAAGAGAGAAAGAGGGAAAGGGAGGGGAAAGAGAGAGAGAGAAGAATGTATGTGTATGTAGCATGCACATGCATGCACCTGCTAAGAAGAGAAACAAACAACACTGGAAATGGTGATCAGGGCATAAGGCATCATTCTGGGAGAGGCAGGTTGCCATGAGCATAAAAATACAAGAGATCCAGAATGAAGGTGGCCTGTTAATGATCTAGATAGAATGTTGGTTCATGACCCTTTTCATCTCCTTGTCCTCAGGCCTTTAGTTCCAGAAGAGAGAATACAGCATTTATAAATCTTCAATTTCACAGAGGGCAGCCGATGGGCAAAGGGGAACAGCTGCCTCAGGATAGATACTGAACCAAACCACAGGGCTGGAGACCCTGAATCTCCTGAGGAGTCATGGGGATAGATGCTCCTCTTGGACAGATGCTCCTTTGCCATCTCAGAAACTATTCTGCACCATCTTCCAGTGAATTCAGGCCCTTCAAAGTCTGTAGGATTCACACTGGACACCGGAGAACCTCTTCCAGTCTGGTAATCAAACTGTCCCAGAAATCCTGTTGTGATGAAAGTTGGTGCATACAAGAACTGTCCAGGAGGCTGGATAACAGTCAATAGAACGTAGTACCTGTGGCAGGAACTTCAAGCATTTTTTGGGCTTAGTCTCCCACCACAAATTCTGTAATAAAAAAATTCCTGGGAAATTTCAGAGCCCCTGGGGGCTTTTGAATTTGCAGTTTCTGCAGGATAACTGCTCTCTGGTTCAATGTCACCTTCTAAGTCAAATTTTCCTTGTCCCCCTATGTCAACAATGATTACCTCACTATACCACCCCATAGAGTTATCTTAACTCCCTTTTCTCTATCCAGAAGCCCTAATGCTAATGAAAAGACCAGGACACACAGTGACATCCCAGGCAGCCAGCCAGTTGTGGAATGAGAAGACATCTAGCCTCTGAGTGATCGACTGACCACACAGAACATAGCAGCAAGGAACATGAGATTGGGTGACATGTTAACTGTGATGCAATAAAACTGAATATTAAAATGAGGGGAGGGCAGGTAGCAACAGTCAACATGGGAAACCAAGGTCCACCTTCACTTAAGGAATGAAGACCTTGTCTGGGCTGGGGATTCCTGCGGTGACTTGGGTAGGGCAAAGATAAGCTGGTAGAAGGTCCTCTGTAATCCTGACACTATCCCTGAAAGCTGAGTTTAGGTTGGGAGAAGTGTCCTGTGGAGGGCTGCTGAGAGGAGAGAAAAAAATCCAGGTTAGGAGGGGAGGCACCTGATTTGGTGGGAAAGGCCCTTGGTTTGGAAGACAGAACCAGATTCTAGTTGTGACCCTACCAACTCATTCAGTAGCCTTGTGCAAATCACTGCTCCCTCTCTGAGATTCAGTTTCTCCATTTGCAGAATGAGGGGGTACAAAATGATTTTTAAAATCCTTTCCAGTTCTAAGACCCTTAAGGATAAAACCTATGAGAACCTTGCCCAGTTTAACATCCACAGTCCCCACCCCTACCTGCCCTGGCCCCATATCAGCAATGTTTGCTTTACCAGGAGATGCATCTGCTTGCTGTGACCCTATGGAATTCTCTTTTCACCCATTTTAATCAAGTTGAAAGGCACACTGAAGCCCCCCTCCTA